ACATCCTTCGTTAAGAAATCGCTCTTGTTTGTCTGAAGTTTTATACACACCCGCCTCTTCTGGGATGCTTGAAGTGGCTCATTTGGTTTTCATATTTTTTTTAACTGAAAGTAATGTTCCATACTGAAAATCACAGCAAAAGCCAAATAATGCACATGGAAAAGCTAACAAAAACAGGTGTTTAATTCAAATCTTCCCTGGAAGTCATGTTACCAAGTACAAGCAATTTCCTCAACAGTGTGAATGGACTGTGGTCTTATTGGCAGTGATTTTTAAGAATACATCAGATGAAGTGGTCTTGCCACATGTGTACTATTTTATACCACCTAGCTTGAGGAAGAATTATGAAGAGCTAAAAATCCCGCACATTTTTGTGGCATTTTGTTCAGTCCTTAGATAACTCAAACTGTGAGACTGCTTTTGAATTGTTTTGGTGTTAGTTTTTAGGTCATTTACAAGAACAGTTTGGCTTACTAAAGTAATTTTTAAAAAAATTCACACATAAAATGTGTGAAATTATGGAGCCATAGATCAGCTTTTAAAGTAAATGTCTTTTCATATTTAAGTATTACATATGGGACCTGCAAGATGTTGCAGTGTAGTTCCAGCCATTCTAGAAGTGGAGGACCTGTTTGGGCAGATACGTCTTAGGGGCAATAAGGGATAAGAGAGACCTTTTTCTCTCCACCCAGCCCTACCTTTCTCAGTCAGCCCTGAGGATACTTGTTCTGAATCAAAGAATGAGAAGGGAAAATGTGGCCTTTTTTATTTTCTTCTGAAACATCTTTACGTTGCACAGGATGAGTTTTCTTCTTTTGATATTCACCACACTCACTTCCCCAACTCTAATGTTTCACTTCAGAATTCTTACCATAAACTCTTATGTGCAGGTCAGATATCCAATGGTGCCACTTTTCTTTTGAAAATCTTTCAGTATTTGCTTATCTTCTCAAAGCATGTAGGGCTGCCCTTTGGCTTTTTAACACGTTGTTCTTATTTTTATTTACTTATATAAATTCTGGTTTTTGTCAAGAATGGAGAAACTGCTCTATTTACCTCTTTACCACACACTTTTTGGGGGTGCCTTTTTCATTTCATTTGCAAACTGGTAAGCACTTGATAATGATTAGTGTTTATGGTAGAGCTTAAAAATCAGTTTATCTCACTGTGAAGACAATTTGTCTCATTAGTAAGAAATTTGGTGTGAAGAGCATCTCTCTTGATCTGAATAAATTTCAGCAAATTCTTACGAAGAATGGTTGTCCAGAATGACTTTTAAATTGCTGATGTGCAGCCTAAAAGTCATTCCTGGGTATTTGTCTGGCATTTGTAAGACTACAATACCCACTCAGTGGAGAGTGATGAAACAAGTCAGAAAAGCTAGTTGGATGCCCAGGAGCAAAATTCTACAAAATAAGTCTGGAGTAGATTACAGCAGAGTATCATCAGTGTCACATGCTGTCCCCAACTAATTCTGTTAAGATGCATAACCACTACCAAATCCCATCCTGATCAAGGATGCTTCTCTCTCACTGGCTTTGGATGGCTGGTCTATACTTGCTTACGGACAGCCACACAACTTGAAAATATTACTTTCAGCAGAGATGCTCACACACAAAACAGACCTTATGGCAGACCTAGTGGAAACACTTTTAGAGGGCCCAATAATACTTAATGTACCTTTAGGGTTTATATACCTGTTCATCCTCCAATATGATATCAATGTCATCACTTAGCAGAAATGCCATGCTGCATTTCAGATAGAATCACAGACTGGTACTTAGGAAAAATAAATACTGTAAACGGACAAAATGTGAGATCAGAGTGGCTGTATTGAAAAGCCTGTACGGAAGCACGTCCTTATTCCAGAACAGTCTGTCTTAGAACTGCAGTCCTTGAGCAGAAGAACTTTGAAGACAAAGTGAAATGCTGGGTAAAAATTCAGCAAGAGGCTTTTTCACCTTTGGCAGATTCCACTGTTGCAGCCCTATCTGGGCAAGAAATCTCTGACCTTACTTCTTCATGCGTTGGTAGTCTCAAGGACCAATTACTGCAAAGCTCTCTACGTGGGGCTGCCTTTGAAGGCAACATGGAAGTTACAGCAGGTGCAAAAGGTGGGAGTTCATAAATTTGATCCTATCTCCCTGGTCCTGGCAAGTCTGCATTGGCTTCCTGTCTGCTTCCATGCCAAATTCAAAGTTCTAATATTAAGTTATAAAACCCTAAACAGTCTGGGACCTTGGTACTTGTCACAGCATTCCTCTCTAAGATACATCCAGGCAACCCTATCATCTCAGGTTATGTTGCGGATGGCCATCCTAAGGGAGGCCTAGAAAACATCCATCAGGAACTGGGCCTTTGCAGTAGTAGCCACAACTCTATGGAATTCAGTGCCTGTAAATGTGTGCCAAGCTCCCTCTTTGCTGTCCTTCAGGAAGCAAGTGAAATCAGTGCTATTTAAGCAAGTGTTCAGGTCCGTTCTCCCCACCGGAGGGACATTTCAATTATTTTGTGTACATTTCTATTATAATAACCTTAGAACTGCAGAATTGGAAGTGACCCTATGGATCACCAAGTCCAGCCCCTATCAAGGGAGCCCAGTGGGGAATTGAACTCTCAGCCTATGACTCCGCAGCCAGATTCCTAAACCACTGAGCTATCTGGCAGTTCTTGATTTGCCATTGATGAGGTTTAGAGCTGTTATCTGATACTAGTTTATGTTTTATGATGGTTTCTTTGTTATTTTGCTATTATTTTTACTATGTTGGCCTATATATTCCTCTGTTAGCTGCCCAGAGTTCTGGTTCACTTCTAGATGGACAGGATATAAATCTAAATAAACTCCTGTCTCCTGTGTCTTGAATAGGGACAAATGCTTATGATCACATTGTGGCCAGAACCATGTTGGTTATTTACACTAGTGCAGGGGCAGTGGTGTAAATTGCAGCAATTAATTGCTGTTAGTTGGTCCCATCACCTCCTGGCAAATAGAAGGGGAAAATATGGAGGCAGTGAGAGATTTTACTTTCTTGGACTCCATGATCACTGCAGATGGAGACAGCAGCCCCGAAATTAAAAGATGCTTGCTTCTTGGGAGGAAAGCAATTACAAACTTAGACAGCATCTTAAAAAGCAGAGACATCACCTTTCCGACAAAGATCCACACAGTCAAAGCTATGGTTTTTCCAGTAGTGATGTATGGAAGTGAGAGCTGGACCATAAAGAAGACTTGATGCTTTTGAATTGCGGTGCTGGAGGAGATTCTTGAGAGT